TCCAGGGGGAAAAAAATACTTGTTAATTGTCTTAAAATTTGCTGAACGAAAGAACATCTCATTCAACCAACTTGTCTTTTTGGAAATACCGTGAGAAAGTATCACTTGGAGTCATGATAGCTCTTCACGTGGATCTCACGGCATGGTATTTGTTCTCTTTTGTAGAAGTGCTCACCTGTATGCCTAGAAGCTTAAAATCTGAGAGATTCTTCTCCCTTCCTAATGAAAACCTGGAGTTCACTGGGGTGATGTGATGTGCTCAAGGTAACATACACAGCCCACCTGGTTTACACATGACAGATGGCCATAAGGGAGCCATAACTGATATGGTTCTTCATCTGCCTTCGTGTTTCTACTGTTAGACTCTTGCCATATTTCAGGAATAAGAGTGAACTTTTTCTGATTATATTTAGAGTAGGGAGTCATTGATGGGGACTGATTTTTAGCCCAGAAAAACATATAAGATATGTCTCCATGGTATAAACTTGTTCTCCCTTTGGTATGGAGACAAAATATTAGACCTGGCTCGGAATATTTAAATGGCTTTAAAATGTAATAGTATTCCAAATGTAAAAGGCCTTGAAAGGTAAATGAAATAAAATTTGTGTATTTTGATTTGTACTGATTCTTACAGTCGGAGTTCACTGCATTCATTTTCCCACTTCTTAACACGCCACCCTATGGAAACTCTTCTCTTGGAGTTCACACATGACATCTTTCCTCTTAACTATACTAGTTTTTTAACCTAGTGTTTATTCTCCTTGACCTTTTTGCTGTATTTGACACCATGGACTCTTCCAACCAACACCATTTACCACCCCTCATAAACACCCAGGAGTTGATCTCATTGACATTTTTGTCTTCTTGGATCACCCTGCCACCAACCTTGTCTACCTCACGTCACCTCCTGCCTGGATTGTCACACAGGCAGGCTTCCCTCTGGTCCTCCAGGTCCTGATCTCTCACTCCTCGAATCCACAATGCCAGAGTGACTAATCTTCCAAATATCTATACTTTAATCTGACCTTAAAATCTCTTCTTACCTACAGGGCCTTACTTTTCTCTCCTTTTTCATCTCCTTTACTTTCTTCTTGGCTTTTCACATTCCAGAAACATTTGCCTTTTTTAGTCTCAAAGACACGATGCTTGACCCCTCCTTAGGGCTTGGCGCTAGTTTACTCTCTGCCTGAACTTCTACAGAGCATCCCATGACTAGTTGTTTCTTTTATTCCAGTTGTTTAAATTTTCCTCAGAAAGGTCTAACCTACTCTCCTACTCATTTTTTACAAAGATTTATTTAGGTATTTGAGAGGGAGAGAGAGACAGTGAGGGAGTGAGAGCGAATTTATGAGGAGTGAGGGGAGGGGCAGAAGGCAAGGGAGAGAGAAAAATCTCAAGCAGACACCCTGCTGAGTGAGGAGCCTGAGGTCGGGCTTGACCTCATGACCTTGAGATCACAACCCGAGCCAAAATCTAGAGTTGAGACGCTCAGCTCAACCGACTGAGGCACCCCGTTGCCCCATGTTCTCCTACTCATTTTGGTTCCTTTGCATTTCATTTTCTTCAGAACATTTATTTATTCCTCTCTGTCTCTCCCAAATAGAATGTATATACTACATGAGAGCAGGAACTTTTTATTTTACGGCTTTACTTCCAGAACCTAGAACTTAAAGATTAATGAAAATTTGTTGAATGATGATGAACACTGTGGATTATATCATTTCTAATCTGTCCAACCCTCTTCCCTACTATTTCTATATAAGCACACTGTACAATCCTCGCAGGTTGTTCTCACTATCCATGGAATTTATTTTCTGTTGGGTCAGGTGTGTTGACTTTTCTTCTCCAACCAGATTATGAGCTTCTGAAAGGGAGAGGCTTTTTTTTTTTTTTTTTTAATACTTTTCCAGTCCTCCAGACCTAACAGATTGCTGAACTGCATTTGGTATGTATTTAGCAAACACTTATTGATTTATTTCTGACTGTTACATTATATACTGCACCACTGAGCACTTTTACATCAGTAGGGCTGAAACGGAAATAAAAATAGGTCGACCATAAAACACCAGCATAAGGCCCATGACAGGGTGAGAGCTTTCTTTCTTACCTTCTAATTCAATTTGAGTGGCAAACCAAAGTTTTCTAGAATGAGGATGTGATGAATAGGAAAGCATACCTTTGGAATATTTCTTACTTCCTTCTCTAGCAAATGAAGAGGCTGATCACCCTTTGAGCACCCTTTGGGTTCTGATCATCTTCCAACTCCAACGTGCTCAGGTCTACGTATACCATTATTGACTCTTGCCATAATTCTAAAGTCATCTTGGACTTCTTACTCTTCTTTAATCCCTGTATATACTCATTCAACTCAAGTCTTTTCCTTAAACATATTTATGACTAACATTTCTTTTAAAAATCCCACTTGCTAGAAATCTTCCCTTAATTTACATCGATAATTTTCAGTTTAAGATTTGGACTTTATGATTGAATCCTTGGTTATTTTCCTTGGTTATTAATGGTGAATTGTTTATCTCTTTGTTTTATATTTTACCTCCCCAGTAATACTGTAATTTTCTTGACAATGGGGACTTCATAATATTTATACTCCTGCACAGCTCTTGGCACCTCCTAGGATGAATGTGTTTGGTTGGGACATGGCTCCAGAGCCCTGGCCAGAATTGCCTGGATTAGAAAGATGAACCCTGACCAGGTGAGATGGAGCTTGTGAAATAGGAATTCCTTTGAAACCGGTGACACAAAAATGGCCTCTGAGAGCAATACCTTCCTAGTTAATACCAAGTTCAATTTCACGCATCACTCAGACCATGCAGGCAAAACTGCAAAGACTTCTGATGTTGAATAGCTTTATGTAACTGGTAAGTATAAGCCAATGCTGGCAGGTCTGTGAGGCAGGAGATCTGAGCCTGAATACTGGCTTTATTTCCAATTAATCTGGGTAATATTGAGCAAACAATTTACCCTCTTTGGGCTTCAGTTCTTCATCTGTAAAATGAAAAGATTAGACTCCAGATGATATGAAGGACTAGATAATTCAATTATAAAATTACACGATTCTATTTCTAAACAACGAAATGGAGGCCACAGTCTTTAGAGTTTTTCATGTGTGATAGGATTTATTAGTTTCTGTGTAGTTAGCAACGCTGCTTTCAGCTTTTGGCATTTATACTTTTCTTTTTCCCAATTTGTGTTAAAGTAGACCGACAGATGGTTTATTAGGCTTTCAAATGCTTGTAATGCTGTTGTTCAATTCAACAATGGTTTTAAACTTTGAAGGTCCACGTAGAGCCTGGATTTTGTTTAGAATGGAAGATAGTTTTAACTCTTCAATTTAAGGATAATAATGCTTACTCACATAATTTAAAACACTTGTGGATTTAACTCCAAAGACCTAATCAGTTTCCTTCATTTCTTAACTCATTTCCACATCACACCCTAATTCTTCCAAATTGCAGTCTTAAAAATGAAGTTACCAGGCTTCCAGTTACATGTGCGTTATTTGCCTTCGCCTGACTCATTTAATCCACAAGCTCCTTCCAAATACAAAACCTTTTAATTCAGAATCACAGAAATTTAAATGCGGAAGGAACAAATTCCTCATTTTACAGGTAAGAAAACAAGAGACCTAAAAGGTCCTGGTGCTCTTTCTACTATGTATTTTATCAATATCTACTATGTATTTTATCAAAAAAGTGCAGGTTGCAGGAAAAAAAAAAACATCCAAAATTTGTGAATTGTAAGTCCCAATAGAAAATTCCATTCCTTTAAATTTAAGTGTCAGTACAGTATCACAAAGAGAACGTAGAGACAACTACGCAACTGAAAGATGGTCACCACTGCTATCGCTTTGCTTTGTGCTTTTTAATTCCTCAATGTGACTCTCTTCATTTAAATGTGGACAAGCAATTGAATACCCAAAATGCATCTTAAGTGTGTGGAGGAGTCAGAACCAAAAGGACAGACAAAATGTAGGTAAAGGAAAGCGTGAGCCTGCCCAGAGGGAAATTAGGACGCGTAGGCGAGGCAGATGTAGCCGAAAGAGGTGCGAGCTGCAGAGCAGGTACAGGTGGCAGGGAAGGGGCCAGGAACCCGCGGGGTCCCGGAGGCTCCAGCAGGGCAGGGAGAGGAACGGAGACAGGGAGGAGGAACCGGCAGGAAAACTGCAGGAGGAAGCCGAGGCCCATCTAGTGAGCAGCGAAGACCTTTCAAAAGAAAAAAGAAGGCGCCAATGCGAGCTTAGAACAAGACTAGAGGGTTAGAGAGAGTACAAAAAAGCTGGAGAGGCAGAGAGCGGTGCTCATGAGAGATGGAAAAGGCGCGCAGGTAGGTGAGAAGTGAAGCGAAGGCCTCTGGCAGTGGGCAGGTGAGAAGGGGAGCGGGGGCCGTGAACTGAGGAGGCCCGGTGCGGACGGGCGGGATCCGCCGCTGAGTCAGGGACCCCGCGCCCTCGCCGTCCAGACCGCGTAGGGGGCGGAGTCTTAGGCGCGTGGGCGGGCTAAAGGGCGGGGCCTGCGCCTGACGCGCCTGAAGGCCGCAGCGGCCGCAGGCCGGGAGGGGCGGCGGCGGTGGCGGCGGCGGCGGCGGCGGCGGGGGAGGGGCACGGCGTCAGCGCGTCGCCGGCTGGGCCGCGCCGGTGGCCAGGAGGGAGAGACAAGGAGGAGGAGGAGGAGGTGAGTAGGCTCCGGGCTGGGGAGCCGCGCGGGCCGGCGGGGAGGCGGGGAGCGCGGCCCCTCCCCTTCCCTCCCCGACGCCCGCCTCGCGGGGCCGCGCGGCGCGGAGTTCCCAGAGGGGCAGCGGCGGCGGCAGCGGCGGCAGCGGCGGCGGCGGCGGCGGCGGCGGCGGCGACGGCGGCGGCGCGGGGAGCTGGGGGGGGGGGGGGGCGGAGCCGAGTGCCGCGCGGGTGGCGCGCTTCCCGAGCGCAGGCGCTGCTTTCCTAACGCGCCGGCCGCCTCCCGCGCGGAGCCGGGCACACCGGCTGCTGCGTTTCAGTCCTGCAGGCTGGCCATTTTCTGATTTAATTTTTTTGACTTCTGCGCTTCGTGCGTGGCAGCTTCTAGAGGTCCGGCGCGCCGCCGCCTCTTCGTGCGGCAGGCGAGGGCGTGTGGGGGCTCGTTACTCTCGCGCGGGGAGAAGGGAGGCCGGCTTCCCGGGGTTGGCCAGAGTAGGCGGAGGTACCTCCCTGCAGACCATGGGACTGCCAGGCCGGGTCCCTTGCGACACGCGCCTCCACGCTTTCCTGAGGGAAACCTTTGCGTCTGTCCCCGTTATCGCTCTCGCTTTCCTGCCCTTTCCAGCCCCTCTACCTCTCGGTCAGCTGAACGAAAGACCTCACTCGCCCCTTACCCCATCCCTCCTGGGAGGATCGGGCATATACTTATTTTGATCGTGATCCGGTCTAACTGTTCCGGTGGAAAGGTTTTCTTAATTTAAGTCTTGTAAGTCCAGCCATGTACTCTGCCGCGAAGTTGCAGTACTCAACAATTTAACGTTCAGGCCCGAGGGAGTTGTTTTTTTTTTTTTTTCCCTCTCGCTCTCGCAAATACAACTTTTAGAGTCTTCTGAGAACTGTACTGCATTAGATTATCTTTGAGATAATTCTTAAGTTAGCGCCTTGAGGCAGCGTGATGGGAGGTTCAAAGAGAAGGCTTTACACTTTTTCCTCCACCTGTATCACCGTATGAAATGGAAAACGTTGAGTTGACGGTGATTTTCCACAAGAGGTGGGTTTCACAGTGCAGCCCCCGAGTGCTGTGGCTCACCTTGGTTGGTTGGTCTTACCCCTGAAGTTGATTTTAAAGCTCAGTGTAGTGGTCAGGTAAAGGAGCTGCTAAAAAGAAGTTCAGAATAATTCAGTAGAGCCATTTTATTGCATTCTGTTAACCTGTTTAACCTTAAGCTAAAGCATGGCAGGAGTTTCATGTAGAAACCCACATACCCACCAAGTGCTATATTGAATTTTAACTAGTGCATCCCAGGTCTGATAGGAGTAGATTCTCCTTAGCTCTCACTTTCTTACATATTTTCCTTAGGATCTGGTATTTAATGAAACAGTTTTAGTATTGAGAGTTGGAGGAGTACCTTTTGAGTCATGCAACTTTCTTTGACAAACTTGTAAACTGAATAGGTAAAATCTGAACCATGATACTGAGATAAAAATAGGAAACTGAATTTTTAGCATTATCAGTTTGAGAAGTTAAGATGGCTTCTTTACTCCTGTTTTGAAACCCTTTTGACATTTTAATATTACATACCACATAAGTACAGAAATTTCTTTTTGTAAGGGACTTTCACAGTTAAATCCAACTCCATTATTTTACAGGGAGAAATCAATCAAAGAAAGTTTCTTGAAGATATTTAACAGGAGTTGAATAGGACTAGTTGACTTAATTAACTGTACACTTAAGTATATAATTCATACCTCCCCAATGAATATTCTGTACCGAAATTTGTTATTTTTAAAAAAGCCTAGTAATTATTAAATTTTCTTTTTGCTTTTTCTTGTCTTGAGTATATGCCTTAGTTTGTGATTTGGACCCATTAGATACAAATGATACAAATTATTTATTAGGACATGTTACATTCTATCAGTTGAAAGCAGTACTTTACAGTTTGAAATTAGTAATTATTTTCACTTCAAGAATGTTCATATTCTTGATTCAGAGAGTCTGTTTCGATTCCAGGAGATTGGCATTTCATAAGTCTATATATTTAAGACTGTGGTGTATATAACCACGATATTAAGGTGGAAGAAAGGTGCTATACACATGTAGTAACTGAATTCCAGTATCCCCAGCCAGCATCACTTTTCTTAGTGGGCCTCAAATGCAGAAGTCCTGAAGTTCTTGCTGGGGTGGGATGAATTCTTTGCATCTTACACACCACAGTGTTTAGGCATTTAGTAAATACTTTTTGGCTTCTGTGCACTTTGCCTGGTGGGGGCTTCGTGAAAGACCATGGTTTTTTTTGTTTTTGTTTTTTTTAAAGACCCCGTCTTATTCTGTGTATGCCTAGTGTCAGTTCTGTCTGTGGCTGACCAGTGTCAAGCGTAGTGGATACTCTCTAAATGCTTGTGGTCATGTTGGGCTTAATCAAACTTAAGGTAGCTGAGTGGCTGGAAGTCATGAATCATGATTTTGTAAACTTGAAATAATTCATTTCTGTTTATGTGTTGAATCAGATACTCTATTAGGCCTAATTCCAATATCGAAAGAGGTAGCAGGTAACAAATGTTTTAGAAAAATTGGGGGAACAAACTTAACATTGAGAATTTTACTCTTTAACATATGTTACTCTCTGTGAAATTGGGAAAAGGACCGTTATTTAAATTTTTTGATAGAACGCCTCAGTAGAGCTAAAGTAATACGAATTTTCCAGTGAAATTTTCCACTAGAGCAAAGTTTGACCACCATCGAGTGACCCTCTAATTGTTACTGTAAGCCGCATTTTAAAGTTTTGGTTTCACTTTATAAGGACACATTTTTCAGCATATAGACCTTTGTAAGGGTCGTGACTTTTGGACACCAGACTACCTTGGCAAGCTCTCCTGAAATGATATTTTAAACAATTTTGGCTCTATTTGATAGGGCATTCTGGTGGTATGGTGAAACAAAACAAAACAACCCCAAAACCCACTGTATTTTCTTTTTCTCTTAGGCTTATCTCCTCTTTCTTTAATAGATCAGAATAGTGTGTTTTGTTTATTTAAAAAAAAATTAACTGAGGAAAATTTTCAAGCATTTCTTTTGGAAAGTACCACCCCTCCACCCTTTGAATAGCTTTGGAAAATAATGTTTGAACAAATGCAGGGCCAATTCCTTAGAGTGATTCCTATTTGAATATGTAGAGTTGTATAAATAATAGCCTCCACAGGGACAACATCTTTGGACTACATGCATTTTTTTCTACGACTCTATAGCTGAAAACAATTGTACAGTACAGTAGGGTGGTATTTATAGGAAGCAGATCATTTCACAAGTATCATTTCTGGCTCTTTTGCTAGTCCCAGTCTACGTGTCCTACCCACTACCAGTTCTATCCCTTTGACCCAGTTTTTGAATTGATTTTTAAGGCTGAAAACATTTTAAGACCTCCATCCCCTTCTGGAGGTGGGATCTGGAATTATTCTGGTGCCCTGAGCATTCATTGCTCACAGAAGTATGGTATCTCACCATACCATTGGCATGTATGCAGTTTGACTATGAGATTCTCATTTTTAAAGACAGTTTACTCATCAAGAGTTTTGAAATATATAGCATAAACATTTTAATGAGGGGTGTGTGTGAGGTATCTAGAATATTTCGATATAGGTTTAGATGGAATTAGGATATAAATTCATTAATCAGTAAGAATTAGAGTATCTGATCCTTTCCCCCCCACACTTTAAGGTCATACTTAAGTCATTTAAACAGATGACTGTTTTGTTTTTGAATATTTATTTATAAAAGTAACCAGAGAAGCAGTTCCACAGCCTTTCTTTAGTAAGTGTTAAATAGTCCATAGAGTTGATATGTTTTCCTGCGTTGTTTCTTTTTGTATTCCAGATCCCTTGTGGACCCGAAACCTTGTCTTAAGCCTGCTTATGAACTCCAACCACTTGGTCATCTGACTCTCTCTGCCGTCCCCTCTGCCTGTTAGGGAGTTGGGACCTGTTCTTGTCCACAGGTGGATGGTTGTGGCTCTGTTTCAACGGAGGCAGAACTTGCAGAGCCAAGATACTATTGATACTGCCTCCGGGACTTGCACTTACTGGATTAACCCTTTACATACTGAGGATAGGCTATCTGAGAGCTGGGCTCTTCCGCTGTTATGATTTGAGCCCATTTTGAGGCTCCACTTTTCATTTGCATCAGGCTCTAGAACATCCTAGACTTCATCCAGTCATTACCTAGATCCCTTTCCTGATGACTACGTAGCTGTTGGATTCTTTGCCTTCTTAGCTGAGTCATGTAATGGGTGATTTTTGTCCCCCATTTTCAGTGGTAGCTAATTATTTTCAAGTGTTTGATTTTCTACCCAGGTCTTCTCTCAGTTTTGAGCTTTCATTTGACCAAGTGGCTGTTGTACTTTCCCATAGCACACTTGTTCATTATTTGCCTTTCCTTCTAGACTATGTGTACCCCGAGTGTTGACACCGAATCTGTGCTGTTCTGGGTGGTGTCCTCGGCACTCAGTGCAGTGCCTGGCACATAACAGGTGGTAAATAAATATTAATTAATACAAAATTCATCCTAACAGTGAGTCTGTTATCAGTATGGGAAATCAGTGTTCATTTGGAAATTTAGATTTCATATAAGAAGTTTAGACATTTCATCACCATCATTAATACTACGGTCTGTGTACTGTAAGTTATAAGCAAGTCCATGTGAAAAATAGCTTCGTCAGTCATCTGGGAGGGCATTTATTTCAGAAGAAAAGGTATAATTTTCACCATGTATTTTTAGGTATTGCACATTTCAGTTTTTCTTGAGTTTGATTAACATGAATATAATAATATTTCTTACACATTGAAGTTTTATGGCACTATAAAGAAGTGAATTTAATTGCCCTCTTTTTGTTCATTAGTAATTATATACTAAAGAGTAAATTCTCATTAAAAGGCTTAAATGCCTGCTCATAAAAAAGAGAGACCTCTTTGATTTTGTTGTCCATACAATCCTAGTTATTGTTTTGAGGGAAGTCATCAAACTCTTTAGTAGTCTAAACCTTTAATTTGGTTTCAGAACAGTAGTCAGTCATGTATTGAATACCCAAATTACCATGTCTTTAACAAGTAATGCAAACACTCTGTATTAACAAGGTAATGACCATAACTTTTCTTGTAGAATTTCTTGTGCTAATTTTTTAAAGAGGACTTATTGAACTAAATTTCCTGTGAAGGCCAAAATCTTACACTTTTAATGATAGTGGAGTAGATGTGTCTGTGTAGAGAGGAGGGGATGGTATTTCTTGTAGTGGTATTTTTAAGTGGACAGTTTACTATTTATGTTGAGGTAACATTTTACAACTCTAAAAGGAAAACTTCAATTATCTGAATGAAATGAGGTACATGAAGTTAATTCAGATAAATGGGGGACTCCTTAGTGTAAATGATGCATGTCAAGAGACATGACCTCAATCTTGATTTTTTTTTTTTTTCTATATATCTGTCAGCTGCTTTTACATTACTAGATTGTGATTCTTTTTCTGTGATGGGAGGAAGTAAAATTTGCTCTGTAGTTTTTTTGTTTTTTTCCTTTGCCACAAAGGGAATCCAGAATGTGGTATTCTGTGACAAGTATTCTGTGCTCATCTCTCTCCTGTGCTGCCCTGCCCTTTTAGGTGGTATACCACAGCCTTCCATTTTGTCACCTTCTTGTCAAATGTCAGATGTGTGTGTGGATTCCTTGAGAATACAATTTGTTTGAAATTAAAGCCACACTCCTCTGTCCAATCACAAGATGTTTATACTTCCTAAAAGTTGAGTTACCTCAAGTTAAGATGAATTGACTTGGGTAAACCTTGATGCCTTCCCTGTCCCCTTAGGGTTTAGTATTAAGCAGTATCTTATGATGTAGGACCTTAAAATAGCAACAGGCACTGGGGCATAACCCCTGGCTTTTATGGATCCTTACTTGAAATGAAAATGTTGGTGATTGATTAGAGTTTAGGAAAGCTTTAGGAAACTGATTTCTTTTGTCACTTACTACGTTTTCAGCATTCCTGGGCTCCTGGTATGTGAAAGCTGTTGTGTAAAGAGTGGTCTGTGTAGCTGTGAGGACATTTTCTTCTGGGCATTGTTTTGTTTTTAAACAGTGGTAGGGTTGGGCGCCTGGGTGGCTCAGTTGGTTAAGCAACCGCCTTCAGCTCAGGTCATGATCCCGGGGTCCTGGGAACGAGTTCCACATCGGGCTCCCGCTGCTCTGCGGGGAGCCTGCTTCTCCCTCTGCCTGCCACTCCCTGTGCTTGTGTGTGCGCTCGCTCTCTCTCTGTCAAATAAATAAATAAAATCTTTAAAAAAAATAAACAGAGGTAGGGTAATCTCAGCTATAGAGATGTGTGCTGACACTTACGTAAAGTGAATTTTTCTTCTTTTTTTCCCCACGTTACCTGTTGATGTTTTACCTAAAGCACCTGAGAATGTGTCTCTTCATTTTCAGCATGTATCATCTTCCTTTTTGTCTCGTGGTCTTTGAGATACAAGATGATTCATATCTTGATTGCCTTGGGTAAAGTGGATATGATATGATCTCAGCAAGCTTTGTATCCAGGCCTTGTGAGCAATTCCTAGGTCATTGCCTGAGACCTTCTTAAATACATACAGGCAGTGTGATTGAAGAGTTTAGGCTTCAGGGTCAGTCCAAACTGATTTGGACCCTGTCCCATTTATGAACAGCATGCCTTTGGGGGGAAGTTAGTTACTGTTCTGGGTTTCAGTTTCCTTAGGATAATCTTAGCTGGATTGATTTGTTGTCCTATGCAGGTAAGTGTTTAGTAAGTTAGTGAACTATCTACCTAGATCATGGGCTATTTTAAAAGAAAGTAGGTTTGGGGGCGCTTGGGTGGCTCAGTTGGTTAAGCGACTGCCTTCGGCTCAGGTCATGATCCTGGAGTCCCAGAATCGAGTCCCGCATCAGGCTCCCTGCTCAGCAGGGAGTGTGCTTCTCCCTCTGACCCTCCCCCCTCTCATGTGCTCGCTCGCTCTCTCATTCTCTCAAATAAATAAATAAAATCTTAAAAAAAAGTAGGTTTTGTTCTATTTGAAGACAGAGATAATCAAATTAGTAAAAAATTTTACAAATAGAGGTCTTGCTCATTTGAGTTTAAAACTATGTAAGACTTGGAACCATTGAATTTTTTATATACACAGGGTATACTCATATGTGACAGAGGCAAAATATGTAGCATACTTGTTGGATTAAGACACTTGGATGATCAAGCACTTGGATAACCTTGGGCAGGGAGCTTGCCCTTAGTGACTCAGTTTTCTTCTGTAAAATAGGTAATAAAAGTGTCAAGAATAATAAAGGGTGAAAAAGGATAGTAGGTTGTTGTAAAGACTTAAGAGATGAAGTGTACAAAATACTTAGTAATGCCTGAATCGATAAATACTGATAGTTGTTACTGTGACCTCAGACAAATGACTTCCCCTCTCTCTACCTCAGGTGTCCTCCTTGGTAGCATGAATATTATCAGAGAACTAATAGAGTTGTTATGAGGATTTAATGAGATAATACATGTAAGTGCTCATTATGTGTTAATTGGTATTGTTACATTATTAATGCAGTTTCAGAATGAATTGGACCAATTTTGAGTTAAAATGAAAGAATTTGTACAGATATTTAATATAATTCTTTTTTTTAAAGAATATAATTCTTAATGTTGGGGGATATTTATTAAGGATTTGGAGATGGCAACTTATCATTTATAGCTTTCAGTGTTTCCTTAAGACAGCAGTTCTCAAATTATGATGTGCAGACCCATGGGGTAACAAGAGCCTTTAAGGGAATCCATGAGGTTAAAACTATTTTCATAGTAATACTTTTTGCTGTTTCCACTGCTTTGATGTTTGCCTTGCTGATACTAAAGCAATGGTGGGTAAAACTGTGGACATCTTAGTACGTATTAAATGGCAAGGGCATCAAACTTTATTAGTAATCATTGTATTCTTTACTACCTTTCTTTTCCAGTAAAAAAACAAAAGAGGGGCGCCTGGGTGGCTCAATCTTTAAGCGCCTGCCTTTGGTTCAGGTCATGATCCCAGGGTCCTGGGATCAAGCCCCACATCGGACTCCCTGCTCCGCGGGAAGCCTCCTTCTCCCTCTCCCACTCCCCCTGCTTGTGTTCCCTCTCTTGCTGTGTCAATCTCTGTCAAATAAATAAATCTTTAAAAACAAACAAAGCAGGAAAGCCAGTTTCACTGAAGAATGTCATTGATGAAGCAGTAAAAATAATTTTACTAAATCTTGATCCTTGAATACACTTTAATATTCTTTGTGATGAGGTAGGAAGTATGCAAAAAACATTTCTGCTGTATATCCAGAGTACATTGGTTGACTCAAGGAAAACCCTTCTGTGATTTTTTGAGTTGCAAGCTGAATTAGTCATATTTTGCATGAAACATCATTTTTACTTACAGTAATGACTACCAAACTATGATCGTTTAGACCTAGATATTTGGCAGTAGTTTTCTTGAAAATGAACAAAGTGAGCCTGTCACTTCGGGGAAAACAACTGATAATATTTGTTGCCAATGATAAAATTTGAGCTTTCAAGTGAAAATTAAAATTTTGGAAAACTTGTGTCACCTGCTGTGCCCTTGACAGCTTCCCAATACTTAAAAGATTTTTCTTTTGAGGTGGGTGGTGATATTAATGAATGTGAGTTTTTGCTATGGTATTAATTAATTATGTCAAAATTTGGAATATAAACGTAATGCAAGAAACCGATATTTTCAAAGTGATCAATGTTACAAAATTATGGATAAAAGGCCTTTATAAAAAAAGCAAGTAACATAATACAAAGAGTTCATGTGATAATAGGTTCCATATAATAGATAACCATTAAACTCCTACTTGTCAAGTTTTAGTGTAGTATCAAAGAAGAATGTTCACAATTATCTGAAAAGGCAATTAATATTAAGATATGATTCCTTTTTTCTATTACAGTCAAAATAACATACCACAACAGATTGAATAAAGAAGCCGATACAAGAATTCATCTATTATTAAATTAGACATGCAAGAAATTTTTTTTTAGGAAAGTACTTTTTCATAAAACGTTATTTATCATATTAAACATGTCATAAAATTTTAAAATGAATTAACGTTTACACTTTCTCATTTAATTTCTAATACGGTAAATATTGATAATTATAACTCACATTAACAAAAACCCTCGAGAGTTCTCAATATTCGAGGACACAAAGGAGTCCTGATACTAAAAAGTGTGAACTCTCCCCTTAAGGGAAGGAGACTAGATTCGTCAAATGAGCAACGTTCTAAAGTTTTTAGTCTTTTGAGTATTCCTTTGGAATATGGACTACATACCTCTACTTTTTTTTTCCTGGTAGTTAAGTGTATGTTACTGGACTCTGTGTCATTCCCCAAGTAGGAACAGGGTTCCTGTATGTATTGTTGAAGAAGATTTTCATTTTTATTTAAGATTGATACTACATATATGGTTGCTACTCAGAATTGAGATTTGGCTAATGGTCATTTCAGTCAGTCTCTTCATTTTTGATACTACTCATTTGTTTGTGTTAGAGCTATTCACGCAGTTTTCAGAGTTGTTCATCATTGCATTCTATTTCAGGGTTGTAGTGAAAATCACTTTGCTGAAAATAAATTGCCATTTTCTCTGAAGTCTTTAGGTAAGGCTAATCTGTTCTACTATAAAGTCTTCCTGACATTTTGTAGCTATTTTTTAGTACAGTCAGTCTACAATTTATGAATGTGTGAGTTGTTTGCAACAATACAATATGAATTACAGATGAGTTCTGTAGTGCCATTAATAGTATGGGCATAGCCTCATTGTGGACTATTGACATGTTTCTTTGGGGAATTATGTTCTCAGTGCTGGAAATCTAGCCGAATACATTTCTCCATTGTAGTCAGACAGTGGCAAGAAACCCTCCTTTTCCCCTTACAATAGACCTGGGGTTGTTAAAGCTTTGATAGAAGCAAGACAGACATTCTGAGGCACTGCTCAAGAAACACAGGTATTTTGAGCACTCCAAGTGGGTAAAGGGTGATGGATAGTACTCTCAGATGAAGCAGGTATAGAAACTTTGGGCCAACTAGGCAATGATGAAGGGAAAAAGGGGAAGGGATCTTGTGAATGCTGCTTGGGGTGGATATAGTCCCTTTTGGGGCGGTTGCTAACAAATAAGAGATGCCTTAACATGGGTATTTCTAGGATGGGAAATCCATCTATGTAGAGGTTTGTCTTGTGCTCTTATGTTTGGTTATTTTATGAACTGAGCTCAAGAAACAGAATGATGGGCTAGTTGGGAAGGTTAAACTCATGGGTTTGTAGGCCAGAGGTTTGAATGTAAAAGGAAATCAGTGAACCCCAGGAGGAGTTCATGATCAGGAGGAGTAGTGGAGGTCGAGAGAATGTTGGAATATGCAGACTGTCCACAGGGCCCGAACAAATTCACGTTACAGTGTGCTTGTTAGAGCAGGGGTAGAACTAGCTATCAGCCAGCACAGATCAGTCAATGACTGCTGTGACTCAGTCTATTTCCCTAGGATCTCTAGTGGGAAATAAAGAATTTTAAGACTGGTATTAGTACAGGAAGCCTGTTATGGAGAATGGTTAACATAAAGCAGAAATCCAGAACCAGGAGAACTTAGGGATACAGAAGAGGCTGCCATTGGAGAGGTATTTGATTTGAAACTGAGCTTCTTGTCTTCTTCTGCCCAAGGGCAACATTGACTCCTTGGATTGAGGCAAGGCTGAGCCAAAGTGGAAAGCAAAGTAACTATAGCTGTCTACACTGAAATGACAGGCCTACCCAGAAATATTTGTTAAACAAATGTATGAAAGTAAGGCAAGGGAACAACTGGGTCATTGCACCTCAGGTTCTTAATGCAACAGACACTAGGTGTCCTGTTAACCTACCTACTTGATATCCTCTAGGTCAGGGGTTGGCAAACTTTTTTTTTTTTTTTTTTTTTTAAAGCACCAGAGAGTAAAGATATTCTTTTTTATGGGTCATATAGTTAATGTTGCACCTACTTAAGTCTGCCATTATAGCATGAAAGCAGACATAGAGAAATCCATAAATGAGTGAGTAGCTATGGTTCCAGTAAAATTTATGGAGACTGAAATTTGAATTTCATATAATTTCACATGTCACAAAGTATTAATCTTTTTTAAAAAAACTTTTTTCAACCATTTAAAAATATAAAATCTGTTCTTAGATCATGGCTGTACAAGAATAGGCAGTGGGCTGAATTTTGGCTCATGGACTCTAGTTTGCTGACCCCGGTTTTAGTCAAATAAATCACTGTCAGTCATAATGCTGAAAGCTTAGCATTACTGAAATAGATATTCTCTAGGACAATGCTGTTGGTGACACTGTCTTGTTTTATAGGTGACACTGATGATAAAAATCCGTTCAAGAATTTAGATGTGACATCTGCATCAGGTTCAAATCTCTCAGCTATAAGACAAACTGGATACTTCGTAAAGATTTTCATCTGTTATGCACAGAGCCAAAATCCGTTACTGAAATTGTCTGGGTGAGCTGCCTGCTGGGTCCAGTGATGCACTAGTAGACAAAGAAGTTGAAAGAGAAGGATGGCATATTCTTTGGATGGCTGGCAGATTGTGACACCAAAATGGCATCAAGCCCTACTATGATTCCAAGGACTTCATGATTAAATAAAAATTGATTTTTTTTTCTTTCTGGGAGGGGGTAGTTGAAGTAAATTTGATCTTTACTTGGGGAATGTGTAATGTATTATCATTTCATAATGATACATGGTAATTGCTTTGGTAATCAAACTTTATAAAGGTTTTGTCTGCTTATGAAACTTACGTAGTTACCACCTTTTAGTATTGGATTCTCTTACTTTAAGGGAACTACAGTAAAGAAAAACATGTTTAAACTAAAAAAATTAACCTAAAAAGGTTAATTTAAAGACTTACCATTTTTACGAGAAAGTTTTTACTTTGGGGGATTTTTGAAATTTTGCTCCCCTGCAGCATATATAAAATATGTTTCTGGGGCGCCTGGGTGGCTCAATTGGTTAAGCGTCTGACTCTTGATTTCAGCTCAGGGCATGATCTCAAGGTTAGGAGATTGAGCCCTGTGTCGGGCTCACATTATGCTTGAAGCCTGCTTAAGATTCTCTCCTACTCACTCTCTTCCTCTCAAAAAAAAAAAAAAAGTTTCTATTTGCAAAAAGGAACTGTACACAGAATTTTCTAAAATAACATCCTTTTGAGTAGGCTCTTGAACTCAACAGTAGAAAATCACACTATACAACTAGGTACATAGAACAGTTGAATTAAAAAATTAGTATCTTTAGACCTGTTAACTAAATTCACTTAAAATGATTTAGTGAACAGGTGTGAATTGAAAATAAACCTGTATTTTCTAGCAACATTGAATCACAAGAAAACTGGAACATTGAAGTATTCTCTGGACCAAATCAATATTTTATTTGGTTAGAGCCCCTGCTTTTGGTATATATCATTTATTCCAGTTGTGGAGGATTTGAAAGCAGTTCTGGGAAATGAAGTGGGTGGATTCTCAATGTTGAATCCCATTTTTTTTTTTTTTCAGTGAATCTTCAACATTTTTTAATCTTAGCTTTCAACAAAAACTCTGGCATCCCAGGATATAAAACATAGATTACATTTTATGTAGTTCATGCAGCTCATCTACAGACAGAAAAAGATTCCCTCATGATTTACCTTGAAAGCTGTTCAGGGCATATACTATTCAGGGCATATACTCTTTTATTCAAGGCATATACTATTCAATTTGTCAGTGTTCCTCTGCCATTGCTGTCAGGGTGCAATGCAACTAACCTAGCCATCCTGCTAGGAAAAAGATCTGTGGGTTGCTGCATAGTGGAAGTTACACACATCTAATTTACAAGTCAGATTAGAGATCAGAATCATACGATAGCTTTATGTGGAATTGATTTCATTTCATGGTTTTTAAGCTATGTTTTTCATTGAAAGCAGTGTCTGTAACTGAAAGGTGTGGTGTAGCATTTGAATGCCTTAAACTCTTGAATCTGGAATGAAAGGAATATTCTTATAGATGTTCAGATCCTAGAACTCAGGGATTTTGAAATAAAATGTTCTTGTCATTCATTTATTGTGCCATAATTAAACTGCCCTGTGGATTTTATTTGGGTTAATATGATTAATATTTGGAAAACTTTGCCATTTTCAAATGTGAGGCACTTTAGGAAAGACAGGTGTGTATGTGTGTGTTTGTGTTTAAATAAATCAGCAAACAGCTTTTTACCTTATAAGTAAGATTATATTTAACCCACAAAAATTATGTGGGTTTAACATTGATAACCTATTCCTGTTAGGAGTTCCACTGTGGTCTTCTGGAAACCTATCGGGGGAGGGAAAAATAAAAGAACACTTTATAAATAGCAATTTTGTTTTCCTGAATCAAACTTTTTTCAAAATATATGGAAGAATGCCTAACTATAGCTTGATAGGTTGCTGTTAACTCTTTCATTCACCTGTTCTTACTGAAATTGAGAAGACATGTCATAAAAGTATAAAAAAAAATAGTTCATTGCAGAAAGGGTAGTGCTATTGGAATTTGAGAATATAGGGGCAAAAAAAAATCTGTGTTTATCTTTTAGATTGAGTCAGTAATTCATTTGAGTGTAATCAGGAGAAGAAAATCCAGGTGTTTAAAACTAGCTTTGTATCAGTGGTTAAAAGGATGTTTAGTTTTATTCTCCCCCAATACCCATGTGATAAGTTCTCATGAATTGATTTCTGAGGTAACAAACCATTGGGATTTAGAGGGTTTTGAGAATTCATCAATTACATTATTTTGTCTACTGGTTGTTTTCCATAGGACCTGTTTGTTTATGATATTTACAGGACATGAGGAAGACTGTGATTCTGGCTTTCGTGGACTTCAAAAAAGGCTTTGAAGAAAGATTAATGCCAAGTTAGGATGTAGTAGACATACATTACTATATTAATTTCAGTAGAGCAGTGACTGTTTAGGTGGATCCTTCCCCTGTTGCCTTGGACCCTAACTTCATAATCCACTGGCTAAAGCTGCTTTTCATTAAGGCAAGTCTCCATTTTATGAATGGAGAAAGGCTATTCTAGACATTGGGAAACTAGTGGAATGTAAAGGGAGAATGAGATCGTAAATATGATTGTGACAAGATCATAGATGAGCACTCTGTTTTTGGATTGACAAGGGTACTAGAGGAAGGGTATCAGTAGAATAGAGTGGTTTATTATGTGCTATTTATTGAAAGCCTCCCATTTAGTAGGTCTTGACTAAGATACTTTGCATCAGTTTTAATTCTTTCCACGACCTTTGGAAGCAAGTGCAATTATCCCAGTTTCCTGATGAGGAAAGGTACTAAGGGGTATACCCAAGGTCTTAGAAATAAAGGTAGAGTCCCACATTATGTCTCATATTGTATAGAGGCCTTTTCTCTCTAGTCATTGTCTGATAAATAAGTATTCAAAAAAAAAATTGAAAAAAAAAGTAATCTGAAAGGCCAGCATATAGTATGGGAAGATTTTAGGATTAATGGCTTTTAACATAAGGTGTTGTAGACAGGTGTTGGAGCCTCCTTGGAAAGCAGTGAGACAGTACATTTGCAAATACTGTATCTGGACTCTAGAACTCCTTCAACTAATGGGTTACCTTTGATACTAGTTAATAGAGTATTGTATAGCTGTGTTTTCAAGTGTAAGTGATACCATGATACAAAATCTATATATGAAAGGCCGGTGATAATAAGTTGCCACAGTAACTTACATATATTATAAGCTAGATTGGATTAACTTCATATAGAATGTGTACAAAAGTGCTTGAAAGAGGGTTGATTTAAGCAGTCTGATACAGTTTAGGGTGACTACCAAACAATTTGGGGTGTGGGGAAAAACAGTAGAAAAGAGTCATGAAGCCCATTAAAATGAGCACCATAGGTGTTTATAGGCTTTACAAGTAGACCTAGACAGCCCATAACCAAACATGATTTCCTTGGAAAGGACACATTCAATCACTTGGTTAGGAACAGTGCCTTAGCAGCAGTATTTTTAAATGTAAAAGACAAACAACTGTGGTAGGGTGTTGGAGTCAAATGATCCAACTGTTTTTTCAGGTATAGGGTGAAATGATAAGGAATCTTTGCCTTTGTCATTCATTGGTAATTTAGGAGGAGTGAAGTTAAAAAAAAAAAAACAAAAAAACACAGCCAAGGTGGCAGCATGGTCAGATAGCTTAAATATGAGTACTTTTAGCATCTTCATGAAGAATGTGGTATTGAAGACAGGAAAAAATGGTTGAAATTATTGAACTCTCAAAATGTTAGAATGCAAAATAATTATTTTAATTGCTTGAAAATACAGGGGAAAAAGTAAGAAACAAATCCCACAAAGGGTAAGAATTAAGGAGGGCTATTCAAGAGTGAAGTGGTTGTATGATATTCCTAGATAGAGTTTTTACTTTAAAAAAGGAGAAAAATTGGCGCGAGAGATCAGGAAAAGTGATTTAGAAATAGGTGTTACTGAATTAAGGAAGTAAGCTCCTCAAAGATTCTTAGTAGGCAGAGAAAATATTGGATAAGTGGGGAAAGTGATCTTTAACATGAAGTTGCATTCATATTTTATAGTAGTCAAAGTGATCATCTGTTTTAGGTTATGACCTCCCAAGAAAAGACATGCTGATTACTCTCATTCTCTGAAAGCTTATGGATGTTTCTATAGGCTAAAATTAGATATACCTTGTGACAGTGGGTAAACACTTTGGACTTGGACTTCGGTTTTAGAATCTGATTTAGGCTGTAAGTTTGTTATGTTTAATACCAATACATTTTCAACATTCACTAAGAGATTATATTTTACATTAGCTGGCTATCCTTGGCATTGTCCAGAAGTAAGATATCAGATGTGATTTAAATCAACTTTATTGGGTATAATTTGTATACAAAAATATACTCATTTTTAAGTGTATAGTTAATGAATTTTGACATGTGTATCTGCTCATATAACTACCCCCTGATTCAAGATATAGAACATTTTAAATCCCCCAAAACTGCCCTTATGCTTCTTTCAGTCAGTCCTTCCCTCTCCTCCCTGAAGAACTAGTGTTCTAATTTCTATTTTCCTTAGATTAGGTTACTTGTTCTTGAAATTTACATGGAATCATAGAGTATATACTGTTTTGTGTCTGGCTTCTTTTCTTCAACATAGTAGTTTGGAGATTTATCCGTATGTTATGTGTATTAGTGGTTCATTCTGTTTTGCTGCTGAATAATGTTCTGTTTTACCACAGTTTGTTTATCCATTGTTTTGTTAATAGACATTTGATTTTTTTTTTCTTGTTTTTGGCTATTGTGAGTAAAGCTGCTATAAACAGGATTCTTCTATGAGTCTTTTGGTGGACAATGTGTTTTAATTTCTTTTGGTTAAATACCTAAGAGTGGAATTGTGTCATAGGACTGGTTTATGTTTTAACTTTAGAAGTATATATATAATTTTATATGTGTAACTTTTCTAAACTCAG